AAGGCCAGGGGCCTGTCGAGGCTAATCCCCAGAACAATATTAGATTTTTTGGATATTTTATATATAAAAACAAATAAAAAACAAAAACAAACCAAAAACCCACAAACAATAGCGACGTAAAGTACATGATAAAACAAAATTAAGTTGGCAAATTAAACAGGCAAACAAAAAAATTATATTGTACCACTATAAGTTTGTGAATTGTTTTTATGTTCTGAATCAACACATTGGCTTTATGGCCAGCACGCAATTGTTTATACCGGCGAGAGAAAAAAAAACACTAGTCTTTATTTCCATGAATTGCTGGAGAATTAAATTTGAATGGGGCTCCCATAACCCGTGTGTCTAGATTGACACCTCCAAGTTACCTCCCCGAAAAAAAATCTACTTTTTAAATATTCATTCGGTTATATATACACAGATAAAACGTTGTTTAAAATGCTAACAGTTCATTACAATAGAGCAGCTTGTTGATTTTTTTAAACAGGTCTTATTATTTGTAAACAACCCTTTTAAACGGTGTTTTGATTGTGCATAATGATCCATTCCAAACATACAGAGTACAGTGCTAATTAGACACGAACTCAAGCTAGGCTAAATAACTTAGTTTAGCCGCAGAGGGAGCTAAACAAGTATGACGAATCTTTCAATGGGTTGAAAATTAATCGCGGTTTTTCTGGCTTGAAAAAGACGTCACGGTCTTCGGACACACACAATGCGGCTTTTCGTGGGCAAATCGCGCATCCGGGTTAACTCAATACAGTTTTCATGCATGCGATCTCAGGTTAAAAGGCTGCATATACATGCCAAAAATTAGCAAACATTCCAATATACTATGTGTGCTAAGTTAGTGCGTTCGGTGTAATACAATTAAATGTAGAACTTCTAATAATAATTGTAAAGCTATGACGTAATAAAAGCCAAACTATTATAGACCATAACATACATGAGTGATTTTAGTTCACTTTGAATTACAACAGTTATCTAACGGTAAATCAATATACATGCCAATAATTAGAAACATACCAATATACTATGTAAAACTCACTTACTAATTGAATATTCGTCAGTACAAACAATGTTAATCTAGAACCATTCCTGATTGTTGTGTGAGCATTGAGTTTGGCTTGGATCAAAGTATCTCATTTCTATCTTACCACAGAGATTAACCTGTCATTTTTATCCCTCAAATGTTACAGTACATCCAACTAATCATAACAAACTATATATACAGAAGACCCAAACTCTAATCGTCACCTATGTCTGACGACGTATTTCCAGGTCAGGTAAGCAATAATAAAATTTAAAAGGTTCACAAATTGAGCACTCGAACCATTTGAACAGTTCATCAAAATCCATATTGACTAAATTTCAAAAAGCAATATCCCTTTTAACGACATCTCCTAGTATGCTACCTGGTTGTCATAATGTGATGGTAACAAAATGAAAACTCCATCGAAAAACAATCAATCAAGGTTTACATTGCAATTTCCGGACTACAATATCTGATATCCGCCTAACTAAATGTATTATACAGTAAAGTATTGATGTAAAAATTGAATTAAAAGATATATATCGAGATGGTCTCACCAAGAGAATATGTAATCCCATACATGTAGGACCTACACAATATATATGTGTTGATCTCTTCTGAGTATGTGGTTCTTCTGCGGGTTCCCGTACTTTTTATCGAACCTGTTTTCAATTTAATGTATTTTTGTGGTCCAAAAGAGTCCGTTTCATGCGCTCTTTAGAATGAATGTTGGCCGGTTCACCTCGAATTATAGCTCCAATACGATTCAAAGACGACAGAATTGTTTTTTTCTTCTCATTGATGTGTTATGTGACGGTGCGAGTACTCAGTGTATTAAGGCCTCAGCTACTCACATGATTGGAATCTTTTTTTAATACTAGAAATAGCATACACAGGCCTTTTTAAGATACAAATTTAGCAGCTATTGACATACAGTAAGCCATGACATAATTAATATAATCAGAGGTCTAAATGTAATATGGAAGAATAGACACCTTCACGGTAAGCACATGCCCCAAATGACCCCGAATATCCACAGATCTTCAAAACATAAAGAGGTCCCACTTTGTACATTTTGAAAAAAATCACTCCTATAAAGAGATGGAGGTGCAACATAAATAGCCTTTGATTCCCCTTTTCAAAGAACAATTCCACCTGTGTATCACGGATTGCATTGCTTGTGCATAAATTAATAATGATTCTATAACTTTCATGAGCACGTATCCAGGATTTTGTCTCCGTGTATCTCACAATTTGGTATGCAATGAACTTTATCTGCTCATGCTCAGACTGCTTCATACAGCTTTTATTGCCGACATGATTTCTAAGTATGTACAGTTAATAACTTATTTAATACCCTTAACAAGTTTTGTTTTGTTCAGATTAACGTTTCTCGAGAATGTGACATATCAAAGCTTACATCTTAAAGTATTCGACAAAGGGTCCCAACTCAACCAGTTCATTTTTTATTCTTGAGTTACGAAAAATACAAGAGACATCAAATTTACCTGGGGTGTAGATAACCCACGGAGGTGAGACAACCTCCCTGGAATAATTAAGTTGTCAATTTAACTGTATTGCGCATTATTTTGTGCAACTATATGGTGCTTATCTTAATATCTTGGGTCGATCTGCACATTGAAGACCTTGGGGCGTCTTGGGAACGTAGAAATAGGGTCGAGACTCGCTTTCTGACCATCCGGACATTTGAAGTTTAGTTGATGCAGGAATGTGGTGAAGTAGATGAAAAGCTGGATTCGAGCCACACCTGATCCGAGACACCGCCGAGGACCAAGGCTAAAGGGTATTGCAAGTTTCGTCTTTTCCTCGTCAAGCGTTCCGTCCTGCGCTAGGAAACGACGAGGGTTGAAGACTTCGGGTTTCTCCCAAACATCGGGATCAAAGTGGGCTGAGTAGAGACTAACAAAGACTAACATGTCTTTTGGAACGTAGTATCCATCAAGAACTGTATCCTGTGTCGTGCTATGAGGTACGGCAAAAGGGACAGCTGTTGCATGGCGCTGGATTTCAAGAAGGCATGATTGCGTCAAAGGGAGGTTGTCACGGTCATTCAATGTTGGCAAACGACTACGACCAACTGATCGATCTCGTGTTGGACATCAGACTGAACATTGGGGTAGGTAACCATGTAGACCATGATCCACTCTACACTCTTAATGTCAGCGAGTAAATTGTGCCGAGTAAAACAAGTTGAGTAACAAAATGAGCAATTCAGTACTCAAGCTGGAGTAAGACCTTGATTTCAGTGGTACTCGTCACCCGAGTAATTTGTTACCTTCGATAAAGAGTAAATCAATGACTCAACATTGAGTACGAATTTCGTTTGTATCAATTTTGAGTAAACTACGGTTGGGTATTACGCTGCGGCAGGTGATAAATAAATCAACATTGATCTCTTACCCGAATTTACCTCGGGTGCGAGTGAAAGTTGGATCGATGGAAAGTGCAACTAGCTGTCAATATGCATGTGACACCTGTTCTACACATTTTTACACAATAGCAGCTGTATGTTCCTTTGTCTACCTAAGGAACTGGATATTTTGTACTCTTTCATTGTCCGTCATGTGCATGTCTCGTGCATGCATGTGCGCGTGCAGAAAGATGCGAAAGAACTGAGATACACTCTTAGAAAAAAGGGTGCAAAAAAGGGTGCAATATAAGATTTTGCACCCTTCCCACAAAAATGAACCCTATCGACCAAAAGAGGGTGCAAAATAAAAGTTTGCATATTGCATGCATATTCATGATTACTTTCCACGTGTTCACATAAAAATACATTTATCATGATTTGTTAAGCAAATTATGACAATGCACATCAATTTTTTGATTTTGTATTTTCCTTTGGCAATCATTAACCAATATATTATTTTTTCTGATCATGTTACAATTACTTTCACGTTTTAGCAATAGATATATTGATTATATGATTACTAACCAAGAAACATCATGCATGTTTAATATGTATTTGTGTACGAGCAAATTTTACCAGTATTCCTCGATGATGGGTGCAGGATTGCACCTTTTAAAGGGTGCAGGATTGAACCCCTAAAGGTGCTGCTATTGCATCGGTTTGCACCCCTAATGGAGTAAAAACATGTACTTAACTTAGTACATGTTTTTACTGAATATTGATTGAGCAACTAAGCGTTACCCAGAAAACATACTCAATATTTGAGCAAAAAAAAATCGCTCAAACAATTTGAGTCAAAACATGTACTCGTTAATTGAGTAAAATTTGGCTCAACTCATGAGCAGTTTCTTACTCGACATGAGTTGATTACGTTTCTACCCAGTACTGAGTAAAAAAGGAAACCGCTAAACAAAGAGTAAATATTGAGTAAAGGTTGACTCATTCAAACTGAGTAGAGATTTAGTCTTTTATTGAGTAATATTTTTACTCAACAGATGGGTAGATTTGTTACTCAACACATGCTGAGTAAAGTTTACTCAAAAGTCGGGTGGTTTCCTTTTGACCACCCAAAAGAGTAACATTTTGACTCAAATTGAGCAGTTTTTTTAGAGTGTAAGGTAGCCAACACTGTCTCCGTTCCTGCTGGAAAAAAGTCAAAGGCACTTTGGTAAAGTGCCTTTCCGGCCAACCCCAAACGTTGAAGTTCTTCCTCCCCACTGTTGTGACCGGTAGAAACCAGATGGTCTATTACATCTCGTTCAGATCCAGGTTCATACAAGACGGCATGTTCTTCAATAACCCCACTCAAGATTTTCCCAACTTTATTTCGATACTCCTGCAATGCGGTCTTATATTTTGTGGTTATTAATCTCAGCCAGGGCAAGAAGTCTACGGGGTTAGATCCGGAAGGCTTTTCGGCTTTGTCGGTCAAATTTAGAATGTCGTTTAGTAACTTGCTATCATAGGAGCTACGCTTACTAAACATATACCAAAGGATCATATTGGTCACAGACAAACGGATTAGACGCCTAATGTCTAACCCTCCTTCGCATTTGGATCAACTTTCAGGTAATGGACAAGTTCTTCTGCTTCGCCTTTCGCGAGACCCTCCAGGGACTGTGCTTGTCCACCTTCTGAGAAATGCCGCAGACACGTCTCGGCAAGTTTCCGGTGGAGTTTCAATCGCTCGCTATAGGTGCTAAAACTAATGGATGGGCCATAGACGTTCGTCTCATCGATTACTTTGAAGGTAAACAGATCTGGGCGACCCGCAAAGACGGCTGGTTGCTTTGTCAAAGCCTCCTTGATAGCCTGAAATCCGTTCAAAACAAGAAGAGGTCGGTTGCCCATATGAATCTTGAAGACATTTCCATAGACCTTTGCCAGCTTCATCAAGGATAGATGTGGGCCGCTCTGATCCAAGGACAGCATGTTACCAATAACAGGAAGCCCCCAGGGACCAGGCAGTGGACGCCCGCCACTTTTGGCCAATTTTCCATTCTCTCGTTTTGTATTAATCCCCCATAATCCAATATCGAGTGATGAGAATTGATGTGGTAATTATTACTGCATAAGTGACGATTGACGTCGAATTCAGGAACTGGTTATCAGCCATACTTCAAGCGAACCTCTCTATTTTTGGACCGATCGAGTAGAAGGTTAGAAGGCAATATGAAATATCACAACACAGTACAGATTTCCTGTTCAAATGCATTCTGCATGAGTGAATGAAACTAGGTGCGGTGATTTAAGAAACCTGGGGGCGTTTCACAAAACTTGTCATCAGTGACCAATGACTCTAAGCAAATAAATGTCCCTTAATTTGTTACCTACGGCAAGTATATGTTATTTTTAAGTTTTTCAATTACTTAGTATATCACAAAAAAATTCTGTCTACTCGAAATCCTCAATTGAAATGTCTAAAATATCCGCCTCTCTTTGCATAGAAAATCAGTCACGACGCTGGTCTACTATTTATGACCTCACGTCCGGGAGAGAGTATATTCACGTACCCGGATGTTCCATAGCAAACATGTGCAGAGTGATACGATTTTCTGCATATTTTTGTTTCAAAGGCTGAAAAGTCTAATAAATCATAATTCTATGTACTATTCTTTACCTTCCCCTAGTACTTTATAGTATTAATATCAATTCCCCTTTTAAAAATTATGACATATACATGCTAACGATGTGCTATTAGTCGATATTTTCACCATGTAATTTTTGTTTTGGTGTTGAAATCGGCCCAGGCACGGAGTGAACAGTAGCTGTCTACCCATGCACAGTTCATTACCATACACTACAGCGATCTCCCGATGGTTTCTTTTTCCTTTTTCCCATGTCTTTCGCCTTCCTTGGCCCATCTACCAATTCTGACACCGGTAGTCAGGAGCAAGTCTTTGTTAGTTGTTTTTCTTAGCTGGCAACCGAGTCGCTTTCATTCTCTTGCAATTGCCGATAAACATATAACTAGCGCACGTACGTTCCATCACAAGCAAGCAGCGCCTAGAGCAGCGGCTTGGTCTTACCTCCCGATTCCGCTCGCTCCACAAACGTTCATGCAAGAGCCGCATCACTCGCCAAAATATTATAGAGGAAGCGCGCTTGCATGATCTCGTTCAAGTTTGATATTTTACAACATAAAATGTTTAACTGGTACTGTATCCTTTTTTGAGGCAGTCACACACATCTATGATAAGTACTATCATAGTTCTGGACCTATTCTTTTTACAAAACTGCTCATGTTCATCTGATGACAATATAATGCATCCGCCTATTCATAAGTGCACGATTTAACTTTAATTCCTAAGCAGTAAACTCGTAAACTCGTCTTAAATCTCTACCAAATAGGTGAATATGAGGATATAAAAAGAAATCAGCGACTGGAAAATGTTGCTTCGTTATTCTTCATTCAAATGAAAACAGAAAATCCATCAAATATACTCCTTAACAACAACAAATCTAAGCTCTGACAGGATAGCATTTACGTAGGGATATCACTGCCATTCACTCTCACTGAGCCCATGACTCCCGTTCGTGACGTCACGGATAGAGGCCCGACTCTACGTGCACTTCCGGGTTTCAGACTTAGATATTTTGGTAGAGTTTACTCGAATAAATTCATTATTCTAAACTTGTTTTGTCGGGTGGACACCATTTGGTGTTATTATGGGGGTTAAAAGCTTTCTATTTATGTAATTATCTCAGTATTTAGGATTGTCTTAGAGTATCAACTTTATGAGCTACTGAAATTTTGCTTCTGTTTGGTTATCAGCAGATTTGTCACTGATTTTTGTCATTGAAAAAAGGCTTTGTATTAAAATGGACCCCTGGACATCACACAAAGGAGTACATAATTATAGTCCAGCCTCTTTACCGTTTCATTGTTGCGCGCCCAATCAGCTGATAAAATAACACACCCTTGACATGGACAGTAGACCTTGCCATAACGTTCTGTTGGACGGTACTTTCCTTTTCCTAAGTCTTTTGGGAAGACATTATTCTACATTTGCCACACTCGACCCAGGTGATGTAAATGGGTACCTGGCAGGAATTAATTCTTTGAAATGCTAGAGCGGCGTAATGGCAGCCATGCTAAAGCCGGGGTAATATACTTGCGAAGCGCCAGGAGTGTCAAGTCTGACAGTTATGAGCGCTATACAAGAACCCACTATCCATCATTATTATTATTATTTGGGGAACCGCACGATGGGTGGAGACACCGGGTTGTGTGAGGAATCGCTGCGTGTTGTTGTTGTTTTTGATTAGTGCTTCATAGCAATCAGTCAATTTTGACTTTTATCACCAACAAATTTGATAGAAGAATAAAAACAAAAACCGAACAGAATCTAGACTAGAGTACAAACTGAACAGCTAGGTCAAGTACGTGCTATATAGTCAAAGCCTTTCCTTTATCGCTGATCGTTCTTATAAAGTAGAGAATAAGCTGCCCTGGATCAATGGCTACTAAACATGAACAAAAGAGAAATATCTTGTCCGTGAAACTATTTTTCATATAGGTTATTTATAAAACGGCACTAAACCACACAGAATTATATTCCTCAAAGGGTAGTATTCGCGTTTTATTTGGATAATTTCTTTTGTAGAAAGCATATAAAAATATTACATTAAGCGATAAAAACATTGAACTAGATGGATTGTGGGTTTTTAAAAGTAGCTTAGCAAAGAGCCATAGCATCTATTCAAGGAAGCCATAATTAATTATTACCGGGTCTAGGCATCTATTCATACAACTTACAATGGGTTATGGCCACCAGAAAACGTGGAAATCCAAGACCGCGTCCAAAATGGAAGCCGTTTCGTAACATAATCGGATTTGGGTTACTATTTGCAATAGACAATTTTTACAGTGTAAAAATACATCAAGTTTAAGAATATCGATCAATTCAGGAAAAAGGGTCAAAAAGTAAAAATATAGCCTTTTATGAATCTAGGATGGCTGCCATTTTTGACATTCAAAATGGTTACCCACACCTAATATTGGCCAGGAATCATTAGGTATCCCTCTTATAGATATATAAGTGTCTTTACCTTGGTTTGAGAGTTGAACAAGTATTAACACGGCATAATCTAGTTGATATGTGTTCTGGTGAGCAGGAAACCTGGAAAAAGTTAGTGTAAAAAATGGCCGCCAAAATGCCAATGATTCATCATTGGAAGTGAGTAACCCGTTTTTGTTTTTACAATTGGGATATATTTTGTTAGGTGAAAGTGGATTTTAGCGGCAATGGTATAAAATTATAGGTGATAATGAAACATTTGGTAACAGTACAGCATTTTTGCCATTCAATATTGTGTGAATAATCAAAATTCCACAGGAGTGGATGTAAGCTTGCCTACTAAATTTTGAGGTTGTTAGAAGATTAAACTACATAAAACACATACTCTCTCCTAAGGACAATTTCATCCAACAAAAGGTTGTTTTGGGTATCTTTATTGATGGGGTCCAGGGGCAGGGTCTTTGCCGGTGGTCTAGGGGGACGGAACCCCATGAAGTTCTTCAATTTTTAACAATTTAGAATATTCAAAATGTCCTACACGAGCGATAGAATCGTAATCGTAATTTCCTCCTCGAAAATCTTATAACTCTTATCATTGTATTTTAGAAATCATCTATATTTCTCTCTCTTATAGAACTGTTTTTCTTCGTACTGTTGTCATTTTCTCCGCAGCCTTCGTAGGTACATGTCGAGCAAACTAATTGGCAATGTAGTATGTATGTGTGGATAACAACTGAGTACCTGGCTCTATCTAGGGATCGGGACTATTATAAAAGAAAGTTTGACAAACTTAAAAAAATTAGCAGAAGCAGGTCAGGAAATCAATGAAATTTGGAATAAATATAAACATCTCAGAAATAAAGTAAATATATTAAATAAAAAGCTGAAAAGGGACTTTTTGATTTATAGGGGGACAATAGGAAGTTTATATTATCAAAGAATGAACAACAATGAGGAGGATTGAGATCTGGATGTCTTCTGTAGTGGCATAACTCCATGGTTTAGAGAAGCACGGTCAAGATGTCTCTCCGTTCCACCCAAGATCATGGACGAGTCATAGGATACCTCTAATGCTCAACAGCATGTGAATGGCCAAATGCCCCATTTGTGCAATTTTCTGACAGAGATTTTCTGACAGAGACGGTTGACCGTCTGCTCAAGCTTTTGCTTATAACGGCGACCTTCTGCTTTCTTTCTTTATACACGCAATGGCCCAACGTATAAATTTACTCTTACTCATGTATTATACATTTGTTTCTATATTTTGTATATTGTTTGCATACCTTATGTTTTATATAATTATCCATATTTGTTGTATAACTGATTTGTTTGATTGCAGAAAATAAAGTCTTTGAAATGAAAAATTTATTATTAAATGGCTATGCTCACTCCTGCGTGAATAGTATGATTAAAAGTGATTAATTTATGCTTATTGTGAGACAAAATATTTCTTTCTTTTTGTACTGAGTGCATTTTAATTTCAGACAAAATCCCGAAAATCTATCAAATAAATTGATTTATTTTTCAGCTACATTGACCAGAATTTAAAATGGATATGATCATATGACCCTACACTGAATTCGATGGAAATGTAATAAACCAATCCAAGAGCTAATAATCATACTTCGAAACCGAAAGCTATTTTATTAGGTTTCAGAAACCGCTCTACCACAATACTGTTTGCTCCAAACTTTTGCCAGACACACAATCATTACTCTTTGGTGCTGGGGCCTATTCTCCCCTTTTTATTTGATTTCGTTTACTTTACTTCAGCCTATTGTGCAACAGGTACAATACAAGTACTCAGGCACCAAAACTCATTCAAATCAATTCTTTTTGGTGAAGAGGTCAACCATAAAAATCCTTGTACTTGTACTTATTTCATATAGATATATTATCCATATAGAGTTT